ATAAGTAAGTCACAGAGGGAAGCCTCAGCCCCCAACCAAGGAATTGCAAAGTGCGCTCAGTGTAGTATGTGTTAGAAATTTTGCCCTCCTCCTGTAAGACAGGAAGAGATGTTTCTTGTGTTTTCATGTAGTTTTCAAAGAAAGTATTTTAAACTTCCATGGAACCATTGAAAAACTCAAGAAAAGTAATTTCTTTTTTTTGAACCTTGTTTCCTGTTTTCTAGGCTGTGTCTAGTATTGTAGTTTTAAACCCAAAATAGAAAAGAGCAGTAGAATTCTTAGATGTATGTGTATTTGTGTGTGTGTTTACACTCGAAAGTAGGATTTAGCTGACAATTTAGGACACCGCGCTTTTGTCAGTCATTCGGTTACTCCAGCGTTGCTTTGAGTGCTGTCACAACAGCACCCATGAGGCTGGGAGATTGAAATGATCAGGACACAGTTGTTCAGAGGTTATCCAAATTATCGAGCAGACTGACTTTAGGAGGTTATCTGGAGGAGCAGATGATATTCATACCTTGTTTAGAAGAAGTAGAGCTCAGTTTCCTGACATGTTAGGCATCGATTTCTGTAGGAGCCTTACACCAGATTGCAGTGGACTTGACTTGAGCAGACTCGTCACTGCAGGTTTCCGTACTGATGCTAGTGCCATGCAGCATTTATGAAGTGCAACTCAAACTTAGAATAAACCTTTAGTTCTGACTGTAGCAAGACAAGAAATTGCTTTTGTCTGTTTACACTGTTGTTTTGTATAAAACTTCGGGGTTTTTCAGTAGTCTACAGAGTCACCAAGCAATAGCTTGCAAGGCTTTCAGTGGTTAACTGTGCTTGTAATTTCTTTATCTTATTGCTAACTCCCACCTAATCCTTTTCATTTTCTGTGATTTTGAAGTCAAATCGAAACTGCTGAATCTGTTTGATTTGAGTTGAAAATGAAGGACATCTTAAAGACATATTGCAAATGTTCTTGCCTGGGGGGGACTTCTTCCTGTTATGTGTTTTCTTGGTTTTTAGTTTTAAATGTTTTTGAAAATGAGGGGTGAAGGATTTTGAACTTAGGATCATTTGCAAATTGCTGTTCTTACTTCAGTAGGCTATCAATATGTTTAATATTTATATTTTTACGATTAACATTCTATGTGTTTGTTCTACACTTAACAGGCATTGACGTTCAGAATTTTTTTTCCTTTTGATATTTTCAACAAGCACTCTGTTACGGAGGTTAAATTCTCCATCCATCTTCTCCTTTTACTTTGTTGCCTTTACTTCTGTAAGAAAATGTTGAGGAAATAAACGGCTCAGCTGGTGTTACTCAGGTTCTTGGGCTGAGACAATCTACCAACCTAACTTACTGCTGAGAGTGCTGTTTTAAGGTTATTATTCTGCCTTCCCGTGTTATCACGGATTTAAGGTACACCCTGAGCAATGCTGCACACTGTAGGTGGATTTGCATTGCTTTTCTGAATGGCCGTGCTGTTGTTTGTTCTTCTCGTATGGAGGCTTTACTTTGCTGATACCTATATTCTTTCTCCTCACAATTCCACCACTGTTGATTGTAGGTCTGATGAAAGTGATTCCTCTCTGTCGGAGGTACACAGGTACACTCTCTTTCTCTTTTCTCATTTCTTGGCATCTCCATGGAAGTTACTCCAGTCCTTAGGACATTTCATTTTGCTGCATGAATTTTCCTGATACTTGTGCACTGTGTCTCTCTTACTTTTACCACAAGCTTAAAAATCTGAAATTTTGGTCAAGCATGTCTCCTCTCTTTTTTTAGGGTTGTCTTTATTGTTGTTGAGCATGTCAGTTTTTTTTGTTTTTAAGTACACTGCAAACCTTTCGTTAGACATATTCTTTCTTTCTTTGTTTTCTTTAAAAAAAGAGGAGTAGACGTTTTCTTAGGTTTTATACTCTTCTCTCTCTGTTTTTCTTGTTCAGTTGTATGCTTTGGACACTCAAAATTAAATCCCAGTGTAAATAAAAAGGTGCAGGTTTTTTTATTACGTTTTTCTGCCAGAATGCACAGTGGCTTAAGAGATGAGAGAGATGTCCCCACTTGTGTTCCTGAGCTGTGGCTTAGTGTTTTGGTACTTGGTGAAAAATCAGTTTATCAAGAGAAGGGCAGTCAAAGGGCTAATAATAATGTTATGGTGGCTTTATCTGGTCGTTGTAGCAGTCATAGCATTTTTTTTGTGTGTAGATTTCAGAGCAGTGCACATAGGTAGATAAATATCTTCGGGACATGTATTTTGCATGGCTCGTCAAGGGAACAAGTGGGTGAGAACAGCAGTAGGAACAATGCAGCCTGGAGGCAGCATGATCAGCTGGGGAATACTACAGAGAAAACCATATTAGTTTTGTGTGGTGTTACAAAACAAAAGCAGAGACCCCCAAATTAATAATAAAGTGTTCCTGTATTCCTGAAGGCATAAAAAGGTGCAAGTTGAAAGGTGAATGCCTTTCCAGAATGAGGAAGTTAATGCCAAACAATTTAAGACAATATTAATACTAGTAAAATCTATTAAAGGATTGTGGAGCAGTAATGAATTACATGAATTAAGATGTCCTGAGCTGTAAAAATGTGTAAAATAATAATTTCTAGGACTGTGCTAGATAAACTGTCTAATTGTCACGAAGTTAGATAGTATCAGGAAGGACTTTTTCCTTCCTGTAGCAAGCTTCTGGGCAATACTGTGGAATTTTTACGTTTTCCTAAAGCATCTGACGCTTTTTTTCTCTTTTCCTTTTTTATTTTTATTTGTGAGATAGGGCTACAGTTTAGTTCATTTTTCTCCGTTACATGTGTAATCCCCAGAAGAGCATGACTGCAAGCTGGTCAGGACACAGCATTGTATTGCATGTTGTAGGCATTACCTTGAGGCTTTTTTACACTTTACAGAAATCAGTGGGGTCCCTGTGTGTGTGCAGTGTATGAATGGCATTTTAGACTGCTAATAATTTTTCTTTGGCGAGGAACTGTGATTTCCACTCCCCCCACCCCCTGCTGAGTTACAGTCTTTTGGCATCACCACATGATTAGCTACAAATGCTTGGGAAGATTCCTCTGGGATATCTGTACTCCAACCATATTCCCTTTTAGCCATTTGAGTACAAGCGTGGCATTGGGTACAAGGTGCAGTAGGAACCTTCCTCAGGCACACAAGTCAGCAGCTGTTCTCCAAGCCTGACCGTAGAAGGCAGTTGATGTGAAATGCCTGCCGAGTTTGGCTCCGTTTTTCAGACATGCTATTTGGACTTAGAGGTCTTTATGCAATTTGCTGTCTTAAGGCTGGTCCTATGAACCCAGGAGCTTTAAGCATCCTGGTTCTTCCAGCGTTACACAGACTTTCCCATATACCCAATACTCAGCATCTTGTCTCTTTCATTTGTTTTTGTATGTGATCTCCTTTAGCCAGTAGTCCAGAGTTGACAATTGTTGAAGCTAAACAGTAAAAATCCTTACATAGTTTATGAAAGGCATTCAGCTGTTCTGTTCATGTAAGAAAATCAGATTAATTTTTTTCC